CCCAGACCTTAAACAGGAATACATGGTTAGCGGGAACCTACTTCAGCTTGAGTTCCCGGGTCAGTTCGTTCTGGGTTTGTTCCAGTTCTTGTCTCTCTTTGATGTGCTCCTCCTGCAGGTCGTGGATTTCGGCCTTCACAGCTTGCAGCTTAGAAAACAGCTGGAAGAGAGGAATACAGTTGCACAGCATGACATGGACAGGGCTACCTTTGCTCCAAAGACTCTGTATGTGCAGTGGTTAGAATGCCGTGTTGCAGGCTGACTCTGACAGCTGACAGCAGTTTGATCCTGACTGGCTCATGATCGATTCAGCCTTCCCCCCTTCCAAGGTGGGCAAAATGAGGACCCAGATGGTTGGGGGCAAGAGGCTGGCTCTGTAAACGGCTTAGAGAGGGCTGTAAAAGGGTTGTGAAGCGGCATATAAGTCTAAGTGCTATTGCTACCTTCCTGCCTTCCACATTTCCTTCCTTCCTCCTTTCCTCCCCTCCTTCTTTCTAAAGGTTGACTCAGCCTTCCCTCCTTCCGAGGTGAGTGAAATGAGGAGCCAGATTGTTGTCCTTCCTTCCTTCCTATCTTCCTTCCTTCCTATCTTCCTTCTTTCCCTCCCTCCCTCCCTCCCTCCCTCCTTCCAAGGGGAATAAAACAAGGAGCCAGACTGTTGGGGGCAAGAGGCCGACTCTGTAAACCGCTTAGAGAGGGCTGGAAAGCACTGTGAAGTGGTATATATGTAAGTGCTATTGCTACCTTCCTGCCTTCCACATTTCCTTCCTTACTCCTTTCCTCCCCTCCTTCTTTCTAAAGGTTGACTCAGCCTTCCCTCCTTCCGAGGTGAGTGAAATGAGGACCCAGATTGTCCGTCCTTCCTTCCTTCCTCCCTCCCTCCCTCCCTCCCTCCCTTCCTTCCTTCCTATCTTCCTTCCTTCCTCCCTCCCTCCTCCTTCTTCCTTCCTTCCTAAGGTTGACTCGGCCTTCCCTCCTTCCGAGGTGAGTAAAATGAGGACCCAGATGGTTGGGGACAAGAGGCTGACTCTGTAAACTGCTCAAGAGAGGGCTGGAAAAGCACCGTGAAGCGGTATATAAGTCTAACAAGAACACCAGCTCAGAGAGCATCAAGGGCCCCAAAGCACTCCTTCTCCTCTTCCTCCTCCCTCTTCTCCATCTCCCATACAAGTATTCTCCTTTATTTGTGTCACCTTTTTCAGTTTCTTAGTTTTGATGTCCACTTCCTGCTGCAAGGAGCTGTAGGTCTCCTTCAGCTCCAAGGTTTCTTCATCCCGACTTTCCATTTGCTGTTGGATTTCTCGTTCCCGTCGTTTCTGTAGGACACGACAAGACATTGGTTTCAAGCTTTCCAATTCACCAATCTCTACACTTCCGTTCTTTGTTAGTGACCCATTCAGAGGAGACACTCAACTTGGTTGAAGAATTAACTCATTTCCTAAGAGGGAACTAGCTCCATACCCGTTCTTCGCGATGAAACTATGTGGTGGGGTGTAGTTTTGGGGGGGGAGGAAAAGAAGGAACAGAAAATTCTGGCTCTGCCTACCAGCACCCATCGGTATTCATCTGGCTAGCGTCCTGTCAGTGTGTGAGAGAGTTGAGGGCTGTTTAGAAACTGAAGCAGTATTTGCTGTGTGAGCAAGAAGGAGACAGCAAGGAGCCTGGGCGTGGCTTAGCTCAGCTGTTCTGTCCTAAAGCTGTGAAACTGAAACGGAAACTCCTTATCCTCTGCTTGTGTTTTGCCTTTGGAAGAGATTTCTTTTTTTCAGGTGGGGAGGGGAAGTAGAACTCCTCAGCATCAGAGCGTGATAATAATAATAATAGTAATAGTAATAATAGTAATAATATAGAAAATACTAATGCTCTGATGGTCATTTCAAAAAGTCCTTTCTTAGTGAGCATCTAGAAGCCAAGAGGAACATAACGTGCCAAATTTCAAGTTTGTAGGCTTTACTATTCTGGAGATTTTATGATGCGTGAGTGGTCTTTTGCTTTTATATATAAAGAAGATTATATATTATATATAAAAATTACAGTTATGAAGTCCACAAAAACTTCAGAAACCCATTTAATCTAATTGGCTCTCAGGTCCTAACTTCAAAAAACATACAATGACAATGATCTCCAAAGACAGTGACTGATTATATTAGTAGAGAAATTTTAATCAGATGAAAAAAACTGGAAGGAAGCAAAGGACTGATTTATGACGCTTTTTGCTGGAAACCGGTGTTTACTTCCAGTTTCCAACCAAAAACGCCTCCTGGGTATAAGGGGGTTCCCTTAAAATGACCGCCGTCTTCATTTAATGACCGCGGTGTTCATTTAGCCACAAAAAAAAAGGCAAAACAATCAGGCAGTACCAATACACATGGCGATCTGCTTAACAGCCGCAATAACTTACGACTGTAATTTCTGGCTCAGTTACGGTTGTAAGCTGAGAACCACCGTATTTTTCACACTTGGGGAAGACATTTGCTTGGGAAATGTTCTCAGGGGCCTTTGTCCAGGTAGGAAAGAGGTTATGTTGTATTGGCAGGTGAGCCTCCAAATAAAAGATATGGGCAAAGGAGCCATTTCTGTCCTTATCTCACCTGCTCAGCGATCTCCTGCCGTTTCTGTTCCAGGATTTTCTGCTGCTCGTTGGTGTGATCCACAATGTTTTTCCCACCGACAAGGAGCTTGCTCTCCATTGCCTTGAAAGCAAAAATTTAAGGGGTGCCGGGGGAGAAATGCCACAAAATTAGAACACTGCGGATATCACCCTGATCTCACACCTGTAATTCCAGTCAACTTTAAAAGTATAAAGGAAAAAAAGATATATTCTTCGTGCGGCGTACACCTGGCTGAAGTTTACCAAAATGAGGAATCAGATTTCAACCGATAACGCTAAGCCAGACACATCACAGTTCCATTACCGATTAGCAATAAATCACAATGTTTGCTAGAAATGCATAAAGTAACCTGCCCTTCGCTGCATTCAGGCTGCTTCATTTATTTATTAATTTTGAAAGTTTATACAGCCGCTTCCTTGCTCGCTCACAGCGACTCTAGGTGGCTTACAAACAATGAAAAGCACAGAATAGGAAAAAAAATAAAATAAAATAAAAACAAAAATAATCAGAAAGGCCCAGCTACCCACCCCACAACGACAACACATGGACAAAGAAGCCGGTTGTTGTTATTATTATTATTATTATTTTGTGGAGGCCATAATGTTTTGATGATGGACGGGTCATAAACATCCCCTCAATATAATAAGAATATTTTTTACACCTTTGTTTCTGCGTATTTCAAGGGTTTGCTCTTAACTCTGCAGGCATATGCGTATACCGGTCTGAATTTTCTTATAGCAGTTCACTTAGTGACGTCACTGGAAAAAGTGAGTTAGGCCCATTTTTCACACTTACTGCCGCTGCAGTATCCCCAAGGTCACATGATCCGAATTCAGGCGTGGGGCAACCGACTTGCATTTACGAACATTGCAGGGTCCTCGGGGTCACGCGATCCTCTCTGGTGGCCCTCCGACAAGCAAAGTCGATGGGGGAAGCCAGATTCCCTTAACAACGGTGTGGCTCATTGAACAACTGCCATGAATCGCTTAATAATATGTGGCAACGAAAAAGTCATAAAACGGGGCAAAACTCACTCAACAAATTTTGGGGCTCAATGGTGGTCGTATATTGAGGATTACTTGTATATTTTTAGTTTTTTGTCATTTAATGACCCCATGATCCCTTACATCGGGGTGGAGGTGGGGCAACTGAATGGAGCTGAGTATTTTACTGGCCGGATGCCCTTCCCTGTTGCCAGTACGGAGTTCGCAACAGATATATTCTCATCGTGTCCAGAGAGAGAAACATCTGCCGCTACCTAGGATCAAACTCACAACCTCTTGACTGTGAGGTGAGAGTTCCCCCACGCCACTCTGAGGATTACCTGTACGTGTTCTGCTGATTAACGGTCAATGTAAATACGTCGTTCAGTAGAAAAGGTGTCTTACCTTGATTTTAGCTCCCAGCTTTTCAGCGGCTTCTTTCTCACGTTTCAGGTCTTCCATCTTCTTCTCCTTCTCCTTCAGCAGCCTCATCTTGTCCTCGGCCACCAAGCTGTGGTCCTCCAGGATGGCCTTCTTCTCGATCTCCAGCTTCTCTTGTTGCTCTTTCCAGTAGTCATCTTTGTCCGCCCCTTCCTCTTCTTCCCCATCCTCTTCCTCCTCCTCCTCCTCCTCTTCCTCCTCCTCCTCGCCGATGCCGCCATCTCTCCTCCTCTCCTTCTTCTTCCTCTTGACGATGGATCTTTTCTCCAGCTGGGCCTTCAGGCGAGCAATTTCTTCTTGGAATTCCCGCAGGAGAGCATCTTTGGGGTCTTCGTTGACCCTTGGCTTGTTCTTGATGTTCTTGGCACGGTTGGCGTATCTCAGCGTGGTCAAGGTCTCCTCCACGTTGTAGGAGGCGGGGCCGATGTTGGCGACCATCACAGTCTTCGCGTTTCCCCCTAAGGAATCCTGGAGAAGCCGGGTCAGCTTGGAGTCCCTATAGGGAATGTGGGTACTTTTGCCGTCCACAAGCGCAGAGATGACGTTGCCCAAGGCAGAGAGGGAGAGGTTGATCTTGGTGGCTTCTTTCAACCTCTCCCCCTGGGCTCCGGTCTTGGACTGGCGCTCGCTGCCCGCGAGATCCACCAGGTTCAACTTCCCGACCCGTATGTGGTTCTCCCCATCGAGCCCAACCTCACTGCATTCGATGGTGATGACGAAAATGGCATGGGAGCGGGAGCTGTGCTCATTCATGTTGGTCGCGCCCACCGAACGATTCTGGTTCCCCACATTCATGACGTGTTCGATTTCTTTCACGCTCTTGGTGACGAAGGACGAGAGATCTTTGACGTAGATCCCCGTGTCGGGCCTCTCCTTCAGCTCCAGCCTCTTGGATTGGTCCTTGGAGAGCAAGTCTCTGATTTCTTCTTGGTAGATCTCCAAGTAGGAGGCCCTGACCAGGTACTGCTGGTTCTGAGACCGGGAAATGTGGGTGAAGATGTGGTCAAAGGAGTTGGGGATGACCCCTCTTTTCTCAGCGTCTCCACGCACACCTTCCATGGTGTACGTTTTCCCCGTCCCGGTTTGTCCGTAAGCGAAAATGGTCCCGTTGAACCCTTGGAGAACCGAGTCCACCAACGGCCGGAAAGTCTCGTCGTAAAGCTCAAACTGTTTGGAGCTCCAGTCATAAACGGCATCGAAGGTGAACGTCTTTGGAAGTTCATGAGATGTTCCCTTTGGGTTCTTCACGGAGACCTGCCCCAATTTCACGTCCACTTCCACCACTTGTTCATAGGAGGCCACCTTCTCTTTGCTGTTCATTGGCCGACATCGTACGACGACTCTGACCGACTCCGAGCACTTTAACTTCAACATGGCAGACGATTAGCACGGGGACCAAATGAACGGATGAGGAAATCAGGAAGACCACAAGGATTCTTCTAATCCTAGAAAGAATGTAGTACAAGAACAGAATGGAAAGATTAAGGCAACACCATAGTTGGCGCAGCAAACAGAAGTTTCTATCCTACAGTATTAACACTTAACATCCTAGATCAGTACTGTCCAACCTGGGCAACTTTTAAGACTTGTGGACTTCAACTCCCAGAATACCCTAGGCAGCCATGCTGGCTGGGGAATTCTGGGAGTTAAAGTCCACAGGTCTCAAAGTTGCCAAGATTGGACACTCTTGCCTAGCTGGACTTTGGCAAATTTTATTTATTAATTTATTCGTGCATTCATTTATTAAATTTGAATGGTTCCCAACAGCTCTGCTGGTCCTGTGTTTTTTTCCCCCCCGGTTTTTTAGTTGTAATTTGTTCCCTGCAACGTTTAATCGCTCTGGCATTTATTACTGTTTTTATATTTGTATTAGGTTATAAGCCGCCCAGAGTCGCTTTGGACAGCAAAATAGGCGGCATATAAATTTCGTAAATAAATAATAAACAAACTCTGGGTGGCTTACAGGTAAACCGCACATATACAAAAAGGAACAAACATGGAGAATAAAAGATTTGAAAAAAATGACAAAAACCAGGTTAAAACATTACAGTAAAATAATCTTGCAGCGAGATGGGCAACAAACAAATTTCATAAATATGAAAATCAACGTCTCCTTTTTCAGACTCACAAGAAATAGAATAAATAGCTTCGTTAAATGGGAGGGCTTTAGTTTCTTTACGCTCTGATAATTATTGCACAAATCCAATGAAATAAATTTTGCCTTTAATCACATGCATACTCTCGTCCGCTCTCAAAGATATTTTAAATTTGGCCTAGTTCCGTGATGACGAACCTATGCCACATGTGCCAGAGGTGGCACTTAGAACCCTCTCTGTGGGCATGCGAGCCATCGCCCCAGCCCAGCTCTGTTGCGCATGTGTGCATGTGCCTCCCGCCGGCCAGCTGGTCTTCAGGTCTCTGCCCCACACGCGGGAGGGGAAGGTTGCATGCACAGGAGATGCGCATGTATTGCATTTTGGGGATGCGTGCATACGTGTGCGCTTTGGGCACTTGGTGCCAAAAACATTAGCCATCGCTGGCGTTAGGAATATAAGTCACCTAACAGGTATTTGGGTTAGAAATATATAAACCAGGATAAACGTTTTAAAACTGTATCTTTAAGAAAATGCAAAACTATGAGGTGTGGTTTCTCAAACGGCCATAAAATGGAGCCAGAAACCTGGTTTGTCTTAGTCTGAGTCTCAGAAGAGAGTGTAAGTATATCTCTGTTTCCTTCTGTTGGAAAGTATTGCCGTTGCTCCATTTCTTCTAATTGACTGATATTACTGGATTTAATGTAACTCTAATATTGAACTGTTTTTGACACTGGACTTTGTTATTGGATTATCCCTGGATTGAAAACTGACTGATTTACTTGTGAATGACTTTGGACTGCTTTTTTTGAATTTTGCTTAAACCTTTCTGGAAGTAAAAACCTACATTTACTGTACAGTGTATCTGTGTTCTGCATGTGTATTATTCAAACACTCCTCTCAAATACGTCTCCCTGTATGCGCTCATTCTCCTAACGGGGAATCACCACAACAACTGGTCTAGTTGTTAAGGTGCTGGCCTAGGAAGCAGATGACAGCGAGTTCTGGATTAGGGAGGAAAGCTGGCTGGGAAACTTTGGGCCAATCTCCAGGAGACAGTGAATTCTAGTCCTGCATTACGGTCACTAAATGAATTGTTGTCGAGGAGTACTTGTATTCTGCTATTTATGACATCGTAAGTCACCTAGAGTCACTTGATAATGAAATGGGGGGTGCATATAAATGTAATCAATCAACCAACCATTCCTTCTGGGAGTAGAGATCACAGCTCTCCTAACTCCCGCTGAGCCCAACCCTTTGACACCTGCTCTTCTGTACCTGGTTCACCTGCTAGATGATTTCAGGTGAAGTGGGGGCACAGTGGTTAGAATGTAGTATTGCAGGCTAACCCTCTGTCCACTGCCAGGCAGAATGGGACAACTTGACATGGCCAATTCACTATGGCCAACTAGCTTTAGCCAACTCTCCATGGCCAACTAGCTTTAGCCAACTCTCCATGGCGAACTTGCTATAGCCAATTCACCATGGCCAACTTGCTATAGCCAATTCACTATGGCCAACTAGCTACGGCTAACTCTCTGCAGCAAAGTCGCCATGGCCAACTTGCCATGGCCAACTTTTGTGGCCAACTTGCTACAGCCCAACCCACCACGGCCACCTCTCTATGGCCAACTTACTATAGCCAACTTGCTACGTGTCAAGGTGGCCAAACGCTGGCAGGCCATCTCAGGGCTGCCATTTGGCGGGGGGTGGGGGTGGACCCACCGGTGCCGAAAAAGCGGGCCATGGAAGAAGGAATCATCCAAATGCCCCATAGCCCAGAGCACCTGGTGAACGCTGTACTGCCACTGTGTCTGCTGCTAGAAAGGCTCCGGAGCAATTGGCCACAAATGGAGAGCCACAAATGGCTGGGATCGTTCTGGAGCGATCGGCTGAGCTGCACAGGGCCAGCAGACAGCTGGGAATGCTCCGGGGCAATCAGCGATGATACCGAATAGATGATCATCGGCAACCGGACATTGAGGGAGAGGGGAGGGCCCATGTACAAAGCAAAGAAAGCGGGGAGGGGAGAGCTCCAGGAGGGTGGGGTAGCTGCATATACTTAAGGGCATAAGAGGTAAAGCACAATTAAATTTGTTTGCTTTATGGTCACTGTGATGACCCAAAGGGGCGTGGCACGAAGGCCACACAGTCAGATAAGCAAGAAGAGTCCCTTTATTATCTCCAACTTTGCTTTCAATGTCCAGGTTACCTTCGTCTGGAGAAAAACTCTCCCAGGAACAGCCTTGAAGTGGAGAAAATTCAGTCCGAAAACAAAGTACATAAAAACTGTAACTAAAAATCCAAAGAAACCATGTTAACTTGACAGGGCAGGAGAAGGAATTGCAGACTTAAAAGGCCAGCAAAACACACACAGTTGGGAAGACGCCAGGGAACCCAGATAAGCCTCAACAATAACAGATAATTCACGATTTGCTCCCAAGTTTGCCGTGCACAGCTTCCCTTTTTAAACATTGTGTTCCCAGCTGCAGCTAATGAAGGGAATCAGGGCCCTTTCCTCCCCCATAAGCCAGGCAACTCAAGTTGCTCCATTCTCTGTTCCTCTCTGCATGCCCTAGGATGAAGAGGGGGTGGGCCTGGGTCTTCCTCTGAATTCCCTCTCCCTTGTTCTACCTCTCCCCTGCTCTACCAGACTGTGCCCTTCCCCAGTTTCTTCCACTGCCACACTCCCACTCCCTGTCAGCTGCTCGGCCTCTCCCCCCAAATCAGATTCTGACAGGAGCATGACAGTCACTTTGTGCTGGGAATCCATACTTTCAAGATAAAAGTTTCCAACTGAAGCTTGTGTTATCTGAGTTTTCTTGATGCTGAATTCTGGAATATGACACTACTGCCAACTCTCTGTGGCCAACTTGATGCAGGACAGCCCACCATGGCCAACAGGTAGTCCTTGACTTACAATAGTTCATTTAGTGACAGTTCAAAGTTACAATGGACTAAAAACAATCCTTTTGACCATTCTTCACGCTTACGACCATTGCAACATCTCCAAGGTCATGTAATTCAAATTCAGATGCCTGGCTACTGATTCATATTTATGGTCGCAGCGTCCCACGGTCATACGATGCCCTTTTACGACCTTCTTAAGTCAATGGGGAAGCCAGATTCACTTAACTGCCGTGTTACTATCTTGACAACTGCACCGATTCGCTGAATAGCTCTGACAAGACATAAAATGGGGGCAAAAGTCACTTAACCAATGCGCCACTTAACAATAGAAATGTTGGCCCCAAATTACAGTCGTAACTCGAGGACTGCCTGTAAAACACCATGGAGCAGAATATAAGTCCAAGTGCTATTGCTATTAAACATGGCTCCAGACTCACAGCTGCCACAGCAGAACAGCTTAGAACAGGCTATTTAAAAAATACTATAAAAAAGACATTGAGTCCCTAGAAAGAGGGCAGAGAAGAGCAACCAGGATGATGAAGGGACTGGAGGCTAAAACATACGATGAACGGTTGCAGGAACTGGGCCTGGCTATTCTAGGGAAGAGAAGGACCAGGGGAGACAGGAGAGCAGTCTTCCAGTATTTGAGGGAGGGGCTGCCACAGAGAGGATGGGGTCAGGCTATTTTCCAAGGCACCCTTTAAAGGCCAAACAAGGAACAATGGATGGAAACTGAACAAGGAGATTTAACCTGTAAATTAGCTGGACAATCAGCTAAATATGAGCCAGCAGTGTGCGGTGGCAGGCAAAAAAGCCAACGCAATCCTAAATTGCATTAACAGAGGGATACAATCAAGATCACGGGAGGTGCTAATACCACTTTAAAAAGCCTGAGTAAGACCACACCTAGAGTACTGCATTCAGTTTTTGTCATCACATTAAAGAAAAGAGATTGAGACTCTGGAAAGAGTGCAGAGAAGAGCAGCCAGGATGATGAGGGGACTGGAGGCTAAAACATAGGATGAACAGTTGCAGGAACTGGGCCTGGCTAGTCTAGGGAAGAAGAGAAGGACCAGGGGAGACAGGAGAGCAGTCTTCCAATATGTGAGGGGTTGCCCCAGAGAGGAGGAAGGGGGTCAAGCTATTTTCTAAAGCACCTTTGAAGGCCAGACAAGGAATAATAATGGATGGAAACTGATCAAGGAGAGATTCAACCTGGAAATAAGGAGGAATTTTCTGTCCATGAGAACAATCAACCCATGGAATAAAAGTTGCCCTCAGAAGTTGTAGGAGCTTCATCCATGGAAGCTTTCAAGAAGAGATTGCACTGCCACCGGTCAGAAATGATGTCGGGTCTCCTGTTTGGGCGGAGAGGGGTTGGACTAGATGACTTCCAAGATCCCTTCCAACTCTTGCTAATCTATATCGGTATCTGTCTAC